ATATCTCGGCGGGAAGAACGCAGGGAGGGTGCACAGACAAGTCGAGTCTGGAGCCAGAAATTTTAGGTGGGGGCAGGAGCGAGGGTGGTGAGGTGGGGGAGGTTTCAGGAAGAGCCGAGGGTGGGGCGGGTTTGTGGTTAGCAGAAGATCACGTACCCGACAAAGAGGCAGGAAAGCCATCGTTCTGGAAGATGGATGAGCCTGAGGACTTAGAACGGCTGGTGGCCACGACCCCTGCGGTAAACGTGGCTTGTGGATGTCGTTTCTAGCTACTGCGAGGAGATCCCCGTGGAGGAGAATGAGGTGAACGACAGTTCGTCCAAAAGCAGCATCGAGACCAAGCCGGACGCCAGCCCGCAGCTGCCCAAGAAGTCCGTCACCAACAGCACCCTGACGTCCACGGGCAGCAGCGAGGCCCCCGTCTCGGTAGGGGCCGCAAGCCCATGGCTGCCCTCCACCCCTGTGCCGTGGCCAGGACCCCCCTCCCCCTGCCTAGCTAGCCCAACAGAGACCTAGCCTAGGGTAGGGAGGGTGGTTAGTCCATCTGGACGAGTCAGGGCGGGGGCTCTCTATTCTGATGCATTCCAGGGTCCAGAGCTGGGATCTCGGTACAGGGTCCCGTTTGGACTAACGAGCAAGCGCATGAGGGCCGTTCTGCACTGGCTTCATGGGCTCCGCCCCCGGGGCACTCTGGCTCAGGCCCTGTGGTTCTGCACCAACTGCATGGGCTCTGCCCCGGGATGCTGTGGATCAGGCCCTGTGGTTCTGCACCGACTGCGTGGGCTCCACCCCGGGGCGCTCTGGCTCAGGCCTTGTGGTTCTGCACCGATCGTGTGGGCTCCGTCCCGGGTGCTCCTGATCAGGCCCTGTGGTTCTGCACCGACCGCTTGGGCTCTGTCCCGGGTGTTCCTGATCAGGCCCTGTGGTTCTGCACCAACTGCGTGGGCTCTGTCCTGGGTGTTCCTGATCAGGCCCTGTGGTTCTCCACCGATCGCGTGGGCTCTGCCCCAGGGCGCTCCGGCTCAGGCCCTGTGGTTCTGCACCGACCGCGTGGGCTCTGTCCTGGGTGTTCCTAATCAGGCCCTGTGGTTCTGCACCGACCGCGTGGGCTCCGTCCCGGGTGCTCCTGATCAGGCCCCATTTTTTTCTCATCGCCTTGACCGGAAGGCAGAGTCCCACGTGGAGGGTCGGCCCACAGCCTGGAGCTGAATCCCACTCAGCGGCTCCTGGCTGAACAGGAGGGCCTCTGTAGCAGCTCACAGAACATCCAGGCTTCTGTGTGTGCCCACGGCCACAGTCCCAACAGGACGGAGACGTGGAGGAGAAGGGATTGCTGACAGGATGGCTACATGGCTTTCTGCGGGGGATTGGGGCTGACGCCCTGCCTCTCTCTATGTCTCTGGCAAGCACATTCACCCTCTGGCGATTAAAAACAACAAAAATGTGTGGGAGCACCACTGTCCTTGGCTAAGAGGAGGGAGAACCTTCACTCAGGAAGGGGTCAGGAAGGGTCAGGCTGGCAGCTAGGCTCCCACAGGGTAGGACTCCTGGCTTGGGGTGAAGCCACCTAGCCTTAGAATGAAAGCACCGTTCATTGGATGCTTAAGTCTTTATTTTCTGCCTCTGAGGTTATCTTTAAAATACAAAGAACTACATTGATTGCCTTCCAGGTTAATGGGAAAATGAATGAAAACATGCTTAGGAAGCATTTTGAGTTCATTAAATAAAAAAGGGAAGACCCAAGGCAGGCGAGTGCGAGGACAGCTGTCTTCTAGGAAAGTCCCCGGGTGTGACATCAGACAGCCGAGTGGGCTGGGAACGGAGGGCTCCCCTGGCCGGCCTCTCCTCTGCCTTGGAGCCTAGAACCGGCCAGGCTTGCCCCCAGGGTGACTCCTCTGTCCCTCTAGTTTGACGGGCTGCCGCTGGAGGAGGAGGTGCTGGAGGGAGACGGGGCCCTGGAGAAGGAGCTCGCCATGGACAGCATCATGGGGGAGAAGATCGAGATCATCGCGCCCGTGAACTCCCCTTCGCTGGACTTCAACGACAACGAGGACATCCCCACCGAGCTCAGTGACTCTTCCGACACTCATGATGAAGGTGGGCACTTGAATAGGGTCTGTGCCTGCCCACGGCTTGGTGACTAAGAGAGCTCGAGCCCACCTGGCCGACCGCCAGTTGGTCCCAGACCTAGCAGCTCGAGAAACATGCCTGGTGCATGCACATACCCCAAGTCCCGGGAGGAGACTGGAGGAGAGGGGATTGCGGTGTGGCCATCCTCCGTGGGGACGCTTTCTCACTCTCCCTCAGCCCTGCTTTCTCTGTCTCTCTCTTGGGCGAGTGCATGTGCCCTATAGCAAAAACCAAACTACAAAGAAAGTGAATCCAGGACCAGCCTGGGGCCTGGTGACTAAGAGAGCTGGATCCCACGTGACTGACTGCGTGGTTTGATTCCTGCACCCAGTGGCTTGAGAAGCATACTGGGCACGTGTGCGTGCTCAAAATTCTGGCATGGAGAAGAGATTGTGGAGTGTCTCTACCTCGTGGGAGTGCTTTCTCCTTCTCCTTCTCCCTCTCTTCCTCTCTCTGGTGAGTGCATGTACCTTCTGAGGAATTAAAAAAGAAGAAGAAGAAGAAGGAAGGAAGGAGAGAGAGAGAGAGAAAGAAAGAAGGCCCAGTGGCCCTGCTTGAAGGCTGCCAGGCTCTGTGGGGACTGGAGTGAGTCTCTGCATTCCTGGCGGGGTTGGGGACACCCACTGCTGTTAGCAAACGTCCCTTTTCCAGGTGTTCCCTCTAGCATCCTTGTCATTCCAGGTGTGTCCTCCTTGGCTTGATTCTGCCATGCGGTCTTGTCGCCACTACAGTGCCCCTGTTAACTCTGCTTGCCTTGGGGCTCTGTCCCTAGATGTGCGGCCAGGAACTGCTCCTAGAAATGAGTGTGGACGCTTCCTCAGGGTGGCTGCAGAGCTCATTCTGGTCTCCAGGGGGCGAGGGAGTGGCTGGATCTGACCCCGCCTGCCTCTTTCATCATTCCCTACCTCACTGCTGCCCGGGGCTGCCACCCTCGGGCACAGGCTGCATCTGACACTCCACACCCCGAAGCCAGCCTCACAGCATCCATGACCATGGCAGTGTCCTCCCTGTATGGTGGTGGGGTGTTTCTAGTGGGTGGCTGCAGACGGTCGCCACAGCTCGCTGTGTAGTCTCTCCTCGGTGCCACCTGTCATCGTTTCTAAGCTTCGCCCTGTTCAGACCCAGGGCCAGTGCAGATGACCGCGCAGAGGGTCCTGCCTGATAGTGAATGCCATTCACATGAGCCTTGCTGCGCTGCACGGTGCCCGGTCTGCAGTCGTGGGACCATCCCTACAGGAGGCTACGGAGTTCTTTCCTGGTTTCCTCTGGGTCCTAGGCATGCCAAGAGCACGATCCTGCTATGGAGGCTCGTTCAGTCCACACGTGCAATAACTAGGAGCTGCGAGTGCGGGTTTGCAAGAGGCTCCCCTGTACCTGCAGACTGTCCTCCTGCAGCAGGTCTCCGTGTCCTCACACCTGCAGACCGTCCTCTTGCAGCAGGTCTCCAGCTACAGCACTCTGTGCCGTATCACACTGACATGTTAGGCGGGGTGGGGCAGGCCGGCCCTGGAAGTGAAAGGAGCTCAGGGCTCCCTGACCTTGCTCTGTGTGCCGCTCGCTGGCTCCTTCTGATTGGTGGCACTCTGCTGTGATGCAGCTGTGATCCTATGCCGGAAACAGAGGGGAGAGGTTACTGAAACCATGGGGGAGTGGGGCTGGCATGGTGGTTAAGGCATTGGATCCCACATTGCTAACTCTGCATTTCGAGTCCCAGACCTGGCAGCCTGAAAAACATGCTGGGCATGTGTGCCCACAATCCCAGGAGGAGAATGGAGACGGGATTGTGCTGTGGCCATCCCCCTGGGGCGTAATTTCTCACTTTCCCTCTCTCTGTCTCTCTCTTGTAAGAGCACATGCCCTATGGCAAAAAGAAAGAAAGAAAAATAAAAGAAACCATGAATGGGGAAGATAAGGCGCCCCGTGGCGGGAGAGCAGATGTCATGCAGCCAGTGGTCACAGCCCGTCAGGCCGGCCCCAGCTCTCAGTGCTCTTCTGGGAACAGATGGCTCCAGATTGCTTGGTGTCCCTGAGCCACCCAGGCACGGTGGCAATGCCATTTATCATCAGTTGCAGTAAACTAACTCCTAGACTTGGGCGGCTCATCCGTTGGTTCACACAACCTTGGGAATCCATCTCTCTGGGCTGTAGTCAAAGCCCTGGATCGTGGAAGCTGGCCAGTGTAAGGGTGATTGCACGTCCCATCTGCAGGATGAGCTGACACAGTGTCACCTGCAGCAAACTCGTGCATCCCAGTAAGGGGAAGAGACCGCAGTGGGGCCCACGAGGCCTGCACCCACCCCAGGGCCTCCCCGACCTTCACACCTGAGACAGGGAGCCCTGGGGGTGGGCCCCTGGGCCCCTGCTCCTCCGTGGCGCCTCTACCTACTCGTCCTCTCTTCCATGCAGGGGAGGTCCAGGCCTTCTACGAGGACCTGAGCGGCCGGCAGTATGTGAACGAAGTCTTCAACTTCAGCGTGGACAAGCTCTATGACCTCCTCTTCACCAACTCGCCCTTCCAGCGCGACTTCATGGAGCAGCGCCGCTTCTCCGGTCCGTTCTGCTGCGGCCGCCCTACCTGTCCTCCCCTCTCCCCATGCACCCTCCTGTCCAGGCCCCTCTCTCTGGCCTCCTGCAGTGCTAGACCTCACTCGGGGCCTTCTGGCCTCTCCTTGCCCAGGCCCACCGTGCTCTCCACACTGGAGCCTGCCCAGGCTCGGCCCTGAGGTCCACTGTGTAGGGGACGGCAGCTCCCGCTGACAGGAGGCCCCGCTGTGCACTAAGCCCATGCCACCCTCACTCAGTCGCTGCAGCCGCCCTGTGCAGCACTGTGGTCCCACAGAGACATTGTGACTGGCCCAACATCGGGCAGCTAAGAAGGGGCTGAGCTGGGGTTCCAGTCCAGGACTTCAGGGGTTCGCAGCCTGTCCTGCACCTCTGGCCTACCCCCTCGCTTCTACTCTTTCTGCAGCAGGGCCTGCAGTACAGCCTGGCAGAGCTGTCGTGCTTCCCAGTCCTTGAAAATGCATTTGGGTGGGCCGGCAGGTGATGTGGTGGTTAAGGCACTGGACTCCCACGTGGTCAACCACAGTTTGAGTCCCGGACCCAGTGGCTTGAAACTCATGACAGGCACATGTGCATGTGTGCACACATGCAGGAGGAGAAGGGATTGTGGTTGCCAGTTCCCCTGGGGGGGGATTTCTCACTTTCTGTCTCTCTGTCTCTCTCTGGCGAGTGCACATACCCTAGAACAAAATTTCTCACACACAAAAATAAAAAAGAAAGAAGAAAGAAAGAAAAAAACAGAAAATGCATTTGGGCACCAAAGAGCCCAGTGCCAGGAGCAAGGTCACGGGAAGGGCGCGAGAGGCCACGCCTCAGAGGAGCAGACTTGTTCCCAAGGGACCATGGCCCTTTCCACAGTGACTCCAGTGTTGCCTGCACCCCCGGACGTGGCCCCAAGACCTCCTGCCCCACCCGGAGCAGTCAGCCCTCAGCAGCACCCTGTAGAATTTCGGCAATGCTACAATGAGCCTCTTTCTGCCTCGACCCCCGCCCCCCGGCCCTCGGGCTCCCATTGGCTTCTTTTTGGGGGCTAGTCTGTAGGCAGCATGGCCAGGAGTTCCTGGGGGACCTCAGCCGGGGAGGGGCGCGCTCCCCCTCTCATGCCAGGGCTTCTCTCCCTGCAGACATCATCTTCCACCCGTGGAAGAAGGAGGAAAACGGGAACCAGAGCCGGGTGATTCTGTACACCATCACCCTGACCAACCCCCTGGCCCCCAAAACCGCCACCGTCAGGGAAACGCAGGTGGGTAGTGAGAGGGAAGGCAGCGAGAGTGGGCGGGGAAGGGGCCAGCAGAGGGCGGATGGTTATGTTGCTAGACTCCCACACAGTCGGCCGCGGTTCCAGTTGCAGACTCATGGCTTAGAATGTGTGTGCGTGCCCAAGATCCCAAAAGAATGGAGCAGGGATTGTGGTTGGCCATCCCCCTGTGGGGTGATTTCTCGCTTTCTGTCTGTCTGTCTGTCTCTGTCTCAGCAAGCACACGGGCCCTGTAACAAAAATCTCTCTTAAATAAACAAAAAGAAGAGTGGGGTAGGAAAGTCTCCTCGGCTGTGAGGTTCCCGACGGTGTTGGGCGGCTTCTGGGTGCAGGTGGTGTTTGGTGGTGCAGATTCAGGCGCAGGTGCAGGCGCTGCCTCTACTGTGCTCAGAGCTCTCCTCCGTCCCTGCAGAAATCAGGTGGGGCAGGGGGAGGCTGCGGAGGGGCTGTCCCATCGTGCTTAGCCAGTTCTGTCCTTCGGCGCCCTCCCCACAGACCTTGTACAAGGCGAGCCAGGAGAGCGAGTGCTACGTGATAGACGCCGAAGTCCTCACCCACGACGTGCCCTACCACGACTACTTCTACACCATCAACCGCTACACGCTCACCCGCGTGGCCCGCAATAAGAGCCGGCTCAGGTGCGCGACGTGCAGGCCACCCGGGGCGGGTGGGATCCTGGGGCCTGCGGGGCTGTGCCAGCGGGTGGGGTCCTGGGGTATACAGGCTGTGCTGTGTGGTGCAGGTGGGGTCCTAGAGCCTGGGGCACAGGGGTGGTGGAGTCCTACCTCAGGAGCATCTGTTTGCCCCTGAGGGGAGGGAGGAGGCTGAGCGGCCTCTTCTACCTGCTTTCTGGATCCCTCCTCCTGAGGCCTTCTGAGCCCTGCTCACCTCCAGCCTGGCAGTTACCCAGCATTTCCCTCACCATCTACATCTCAGGGAAACTTCCGTCCCTCCGGGCGTTCGTGGTTGTGGGTTATGCAGTCTGTCTAGGCGCTTTACCTGCATTCACTGGACTCTTTAGAACGAACCAGGGAAGTGGATTCTCATTGTTTGGCTAAGAAAACTGAGACTCACAGGAGTTAGGAACTTTGCCAAGAACCACGTCCCTATCGTACGTGCTGAAGCTCGGGTCTTGGAAACACAGACCGGGCCCTTTGCACCGTTACTACTCACCTGTCCTGCCGGACGGAGGCCTCCAGAGAAGGCAGGTTCCAGCCTGTCCCCAGCCTATCCCCAGCACGCTGCATGAGACCTGCGTGTGCCGGCATCCAAAAACTGTCGGCTGAATGAGTAGTTCGTGGGGGCACTGCGAGGTGCGTGCAGAGGAAGGTGTGTAGACCCTGACACTAAGAAGCTCGTAGTCTGGGGGTCAGCAGGTGGTGTGGTGGTGAAGGTGCTGGACTCCCACATGGCCGATTGCAGTTTCTGTCCCAGACCTGGCAGCTGGAAACTCACGCTGAGCGTGTGTGCCCCCAGTCTTAAGAGGAGAATGGGGGGGAAGAAATTGCGGCATGGGGGTGATTTCTCACTTCCCTCCCTCTGATGAGTGTGGGAGCCCAATGACAAAAATCTCTTTTAAAAAAAAAAAAAAAAAAAAAAAAAAGAAGCTTCTAGTTCAAAGACACACAGTCCTTAGGTTTTTGTTATAGGGCGCGTGGGCTCACCAGAGAGACAGAGAGACAGAAAGCGAGAAATCATCCCCCCGGGGGGATGGCCACACCGCAATCCCTTCTCCTCCATTCTCTGAGGCTCTTAAGCACACACGCACACGTGCCCGGTGTGAGTTTAAGCCACCGAGTCCGGGACTTAAACTGAAGTCTTCTACATGGGAGTCCAGTGACATAGCCATTACGCCAGTTGCTGGTCCCTAAACTAAGTTCTTCTAGAACTTCCTTAAGGAGCCAAAATGCATTCATGTGGTTCAGATAAAATAGAAGTTGAGGGAAGGTTACACAGAGATCTCTTGGGACTCAGAGAGATTAAAACCTGCACCGCAAGAAGGGCCTGCCTCTTTTTCATCCTCTGAATTATTTTTTTAAGAGCAGCTTCCTGTGCTACTCTGGGCCTGGGTCTCCCCACTGCCTTCAGTGCCCTTTCTCACCTTCCTATTCTTTCTTCCCTCCCTTCTCTCTCCTCTCCTCTCTTCCTCCTGTTTTCGCTACAGTGTCTAGGTTTCTTTTGTTTTTTTAGAAGAGTTATTTATTTATTTTTATTATTGTTGTTACTTTTTAATTTGTTATAGGGTGTTTGCACTCACCAGAGAGAGGAAGTGAGAAAGCGAGCTGCAGGTCCCTGATAGGGTCTCCTGGGTGTGTGTCTTTTCTGCACAGCCCACACAGGGCACTGGCTCACTGCCGACAGCTCCTTAGGGCAGTGCCCATCCTCTGTCCCCTAAGCCCTGGCGGAGTGGGGCACTGGGGCCGCTGTGAGCCCAGGCTTTCTCCTGTTAGGCCGGGAGTGACAGAGTCCCTGACAAGGGGCAGGGGCTGGGCCACAGCCTTTCCCACAGTGGCAGGAACTGGGATGTCACTGAGGGGTAATGTTGCCGCACCTCGGGAGGAGACAGCAGTGCTGTGTGGCAGAGGAGGGCGCCGGTGTGGGGGAGATGGCAGCCATGTGGCCAGTGGCTGAGGAGAGAGTGCTCGAAAGAAGCCAGAGCTGGTGGGGTTGCAGACAGAGCAGGAAGGCAGAGGCCAGCTGGAGCCGCTGATTGCTTAGAAGTGAAAGCAGTGAGGCCCAGAGACTGGCTTGGACTTCAGAGCTCTGGAGCGGGAGAGAAGGGCCCTGACAAGGACGGGCCACCTTGCTCCCCTTCAGTGTCAGTTGCGCAAGAGTTTGGTTTCAGACCTGTGCATTCTTGAAGCTAGCTCGCAGCTGCTCGGTAGCACCTGGACCTGGCCGGGAGGAGGCATCGTGGTGTCATGCAAGACTTGAAATCAGTCTGGTCTGCCTCCGTTTTCCCATCTGTAAAACGGGCATAATTCCACTCGCTCCCCTGGCTTCAGCTGGGGTTCAGGGAGATCAGACCAAGTGGCAGATGTGACAGTACAAACGCGAGGCAGCTTTGCCCTAAACCTGAGTTTCCCTTTTCTGAGCCGAGGCGGGGCCTCCAGGAAGTGACTGGTCTCGTTCCTGGCTTGCTCCTTAGGGTCTCCACAGAGCTGCGCTACCGGAAACAGCCCTGGGGACTGGTGAAAACGTTCATTGAGAAGAACTTCTGGAGTGGGCTGGAGGACTACTTCCGCCATTTAGGTGAGCACCGTGGTCACTGCTGCTGGGTGGCCCGTGGGAGCTGGTGGGCCCTACAGCCTGGACGCCATTCACAGGGTGGGAACGTGGATCAGGGAAAGAAACCAAGGCCATGAAGTGGTTGCAGGGCGTCCCTAAGTCTGCCCCACAGGTGAAAAGCAAATGCGCCGTGTGTGTGTGAGTGCACATGCGCTTTATTTTTATTTTAAGCTTTTTGCCTTAATGTGCATGCACTCGCTGGAGAGACAGAGACAGTGAGAGGGAAATTAAGAAATCACCCCCCAGGGGGATGGCCACCCGCAGTCTCTTTCCTCCTGGGATCTTGGGCATGCACGTACACGCGCCCAGCATGATTTTGAAGCCACCGGGTCTGGGACTCAAACCGCGGTTGGCCATGTGGGAGTCCAGCCACGCCACTGCTACACCATCTGCTAGCCCCGCATGTGCATTTTGGAGACTATAAGTTCCACAAGATCATGAAGGATCTGATCTGTGACATCCCCCTCCAAAACCGAGCCACAGATGGAGCGGTGCTGGTGGTAATTCTGTTACAAGAAGGACCCGCCAACGCCTGCGGGTGTACTGTTCAGGAAGCGTGTGGCATGCCCCGCTGTATGCGTGCCCGTGTGGGACTGCCCAGTGGAGGGTTTGGGTGGGGCTGGGCCCCAGACGCTCTCCCTACATGGGCTCATGGGCACCCATCCCTGATGGGACCTGCTGGCCCGCCTGCCTCTCAGTGCAGTCTGGGAGCTTGGTCCCCACAGACCTCCTTCTGGAGCCCACGTGCGGGCCAAAGGTCTGGGAGGATGCCCCGACGTGCCCTCCTGCCCCTGACAGAGAGCGAGCTGGCCAAGACGGAGAGCACCTACCTGGCCGAGATGCACAGGCAGTCGCCCAAAGAGAAGGCCGGCAAGGCCCCGACGGTGCGGAGGAGGAAGCGGCCCCACGCCCACTTGCGGGTGCCTCACCTGGAGGAGGTCATGAGCCCTGTCACCACGCCCACTGACGAGGACGTGGGCCGCAGGATCAAGCACGTGGCAGGTGTGTCCTGGGTGGGGATGCCACACGTGCTCGTCGTGCACCGCAGTGGGGTTTGCACATGAGGTGAACATCGCTCCTCAGATCCAAGGCCCCAGTGCACGCCCTCTTTCCCGTTGCCCTGCTGGCTCCCGCGTGCACTCAGCCCAACCAATGTTGCCCCAGGGGTGTGCCCTCAGCTTGCCCGAGTTCCAGGACTACCTGCCGGGCCCAGGAGAAGCCGGGACCCAGACCCCAGTGGTCGCCTCTGAACACAGAGACCAGGGAGTCTGGGGCAGCTGCTCCCGTTGCTCCTGAGACCCACCAAGGGCTGCCCTCCCAGGCATGGGCCCCCTTGGTTTTTCTTCCTGTCCCACCCAGACATCCTCATCCTCATCTGTTCAGCCATGAAGCCCCGGGGGCCCCTTAGTGCTGCATGGGGACAGGGTGGGCGGAGAGGCAGAGGGGGAGGAGAGGCGGCCTGTGTCCCTTCCCGCTTCAGCCAGCACCGACATGTCTCAGAGTGAGCACAGTGCTGGCAGGTGCATACGCGATGTGCCCCATGTCACATACTGATTACGGGTGACACCAGGGTCACACTGGCTGTCACCAGACCGGGCCCAGTGCCACTTCCCCCCCCATAGCTAAATGTGACTTTGTGCTGTCCAGCAAGTCCTGGCCACATAGGTCGTGGTTCGCCCACGTGCTCAGTGCTTAGTGGCTGCCTGCCCCGGCCACGGCCTCACCCCGGGGAGCTGACTCCTCTTGGTAGGCTGGGTATCCATAGCCCTCTGCTCGCAGTGACAGCACCGTGGACAGGGCGCCAACATCCCCTGAGGTTCTCTGCGTGACCATGTTCGCCAGAGGCTGGTGGACCTGTGGACTGTGATGTGACAGCCTCTTTCTTCTCCCGACAGGTTCCACGCAGACACGGCATGTGCCCGAGGACACCCCCGACAGTTTCCACCTGCAGAGTGTGTCTAAGCTGCTGCTGGTTATCAGCTGCGTGTAAGCCACCAGGCGCCCCGCTCTCCTGCCCGGCCCTCCCCCCACTCTTCCCCGCCGGCCACCTGGGCCGTCCCTGGAGCTCAGGGGTGCCTTCACTCTCTCCTCACCTCCCCCTGTGTCCTCTGGTCGTTTCTGCCCCGACTGGTCGCCCTGGCTGCCCTGTCTTCTCGCTTTGCTCCTCCCTATTCCATTCAGCATCACTGAGCATTAGGGCCTCAGAGGAAGACCCTGCCTCAGTATGCACAGCCTCGTAGACTCAGCGTCATACGGGTAATAGACAGAACCCACATGGGTGGAGACAGGACACACGCAGTCCTCCACGGCTGGGGACGCGGTCGGACAGAGCCTGCCAAGTGCTTGTGAGTCCCCACGTTCCTCTGTGAGGCGCCAGCCCTGTTCTGTGCCAGGCACTGGGACTGGCCCTCGTGGCACCCATCCTTGGGCAGGGTGGCCAGACAGAATGAGCAAAGACGGTACAAGAGGGGTAGATACAATTCTAATGGAGAGGGTTTATGCTAATGACCGGGACGCTGTCAAATGGAAGTCCCAGCATTTGCACAGAAAGAGGCTGGGCAAGGCAGAAAAGAAGCAGAGAGACAGGAGGTCACCGCTGTCTGAAGCCTAAGCCCATGCCACTGTCCACCTAGGACCTTCCGAAACCACGTGGACCAGGGGGTGGCCTCGCCAGCTCAGGACGACCCTTCCACCTGGTTCGGCCACTGGCTGGCCTTCTTGCCTAGTTTGAATGGGGGCACAGATCTGGGAGGCCCAGCCGCCCTGCACGCCAGACTGCCTACCTAGCCCCAGCACCCGACCCCTCACCCCCGCCTTCATTGTAGCATTCTCATAGGGACAGGGGGGACATGTCCTTACCCCCCGGGAAACTTACAAAACCTCAGGGGAGACAGAGTCAGCTTTACATTTGAAAAGGGAAAAACAGTTAAGCAGCTTCTGTGAAAATGGTTCACTCCACTTGACCCAGAAAACCTTCCAAACCATGCAGATCAGGAGATTGAAATCTTTTTTCTTTTTTTTTTTTCTTTCGGAGAGGTTTTCGCTATAGGGCACATGCGCTCGTCAGACAGACAGAGACAGAGAGACAGAAAGTGAGAAATCACCCCCCAGGGGGGATGGCCATGCCGCAATCCCTTCTCCTCCGTTCTCCTCTTGGGATCTTGGGCACACACGCACATGTGCCCGGTGTGAGTTTTAAGCCATCAGGTCCGGGACGCGAACCACGGTCAACCACATGGGAGTTCAGCGACATAGCCATTACGCTAACTGCTGGTCCCAGGAGACTGAAATCTTCGCATTCACTTTATGAACCCCCGTGGAGCTGCCCAGGCCATCAATCAGGGTTGGCATGTCTAAAAAGCCACCGAGCATGTAGAAGATGTCACCTTACAGAAGCCGTCTGCCATTCGCTGTTACAGTGGTGGAATGGGAGGTGGACCCAGCCCGACAGTGGGGCTGGACACAGGGTCGGCCCAAAAAGAATACTGACTTTTTGCTGCGCATGCTTAAAGATGCAGAGAGTAACCTGAACTTAGGAATCTGGTCCTTGAGCACATCCAGGAGGACCAGCCCCCAAGGTGCACCGATGCACTTAGAGAGCTCGCGGCGGGATAACCCACACGTGAGCTCCCCTGCACGTTACGATGATCCTTCCAGAAAGGGGACAAGCTGATGTGAACCAGGAGAGGAGGTTGCACAGAAGAAAAAGATATCAAAGAAAAAAAAGTCTTGCACAGGAATCAAATTAGCATAAAATAAATGCAGATAACAGTCAAAGCAGAATGCTTTGATGATGAATGGATTTAGGAAGAAAATACTGGTGGCTAAGAGAGTGAGCTGTAGTGACTTGAGGAGTGGTTGTCACTCGAGGCTAGGGGTCCTGGAGCCATCAATGGTGTGGAAGGAGATGAATGGCCAGCCCCTGGGACCACTGGCGGTCATGTCCTTGGTGTCTGGAACTGAGTGAGAAGCTGTTGGAGAAGATGGTCTCAGGGCCAGTGGTGACAGGCGAAGGTGGCAGACAGCCATCGATGTGACCCGGAAGCTGAGAAGGCAGAATGAGGCTATGGCCACCGATTACTCACCCGGAGCCACCATCATGGAGGGGGCCCCGATGGAGGGTGCAGAGTGCACCGGGGACGGGAGGAGGCCCCCGGGGACCACGAGGAGGACTCCACTCCTGGCTTGGATCATTACACGGAGTAGATGAGCTCCTTCTGACGTGAGTGTAAGAAGCCAAGGTGTTTCCAACTAGCATTGACAGACTTAAATACCGGGACACCTATAAAACCACTGAAGTCACGTACCATGGCATCGGTTTACTGAGGTTCATGCCATTGCCCTGTTGGTTAAACTAAATCTCTGGTGTTGGATTTTGCTGAATAGAAAACTCATTTATGCTCTTTCCGGGTCTTGGTCACAAGTGGAGAAGGCCTGTTCCCTGAGGACGTCGGGAGGCATTGACTGACTCGGGTCGTGTGAGTTTAACATAATCAGACTCAATAGTCTAGCACACAGGATCCAGGCCGGGACCTGCCGACAGCCCACACGAGGAACAGGGTATGGCCCAGCTGGCCCAGCTGGCCCTGCCGTGACGCTGTGCCCCAGCCTCCCGTCTCTTCTCTCTGCTCAGACTACCACAGAGCCTTCACTCAGTGCCAGGGGCAGCCCTCCACTCTCAGCACAGTAAAGACGTGGCATCAGGGCCAGCAGGTGGCGTAATGGCTATGTTGCTGGACTCCCATGTAGTTGACCATGGTTCGAGTCTCGGACCCAGTGGCTTAAATTCACTCTGGGTGCATGTGCGTGTGTGCCCAAAAACCCGAGAAGAGAATGGAGGAGAAGGGATTGCGGCATGGCCATCCGTCCTGGGGGGTGATTTCTCGCTTTCTTGTCTCTCTGTCTCTCTCTGGCAAATGCACGTGCCCTATAGCAAAAACCTCTCCAAAAAAAAAAAGACATGGCGTGAAATTCATCACAGACTGTAGAATGTTCCCATGGAGAACTCCGAGAGCCCAGCCGTGGAGACCTGGGCTGTGAGTTTACGAGACACCAGCTTTACGACTGTGCCCCATCCATCCCCCCGTTCGCCACCTCTTGCTGTGCATCTGTCTACCCCTTTAATGATAAGAGCCAGCCCGTGGAGGCCGCCCGAGTACCGGGGCATTCCATGTGCATTCCCTGTAAGCCACGCCACGACAGCAGCAGGGGAGACAGTGCGGTCTCTGTTGAGGATGGGAGTTCAGAGAAGCTGGCAACGTGAGCCCACGTGAAAAATGTGGAGGTGGCAGGTCAGGAGTTGTTCCTGGATGCTGGCTTTGCCTGTGTCTTGTCCTTTCTAAGTTTATTCTCGCTTGGAAAAGAGACAGTGAGATAGAAATAGAGATAGAGAGAAAGACAGGCACCACCGCTCCGTCCCCTCCCAGAAAAAAAAAAGAAAAAAAGGTCTTCCTGGCTGGTCCTCCCGCAGCCCTAGCCAGCCAGGGTCACCAGTGTGCATGTGTGTGCGCGTGTGCAGGGACAGGGAGACCTCAGACATGAACCAGGGACCTTCCGTGTGGCTCTAGTGTCATGCAGCATTGCTCTCCCACTACACCTGTGCCTCTGACCTGGCCCATCTGTCTCTATCCCGTATGCCACTGTCATAGATTGGCCTTTGGGCAGCCCCTGAGGCCAGAGAGGAGGAGAATGTCTGCAGTCTCTGTGACTCTGTCACCCGCTGGATCCTTCGGCCTCCCTGTCACCTCCGCTCCCTCCTTGTCTCTGACCACCTCTCACCCCACCCCCGGGAGACTTCAGTCAGTCCTGCTGGATGGCAGCAGGTGCAGCGAGGGGACTTGGCAGCTTCTGGGAAGTTCTAGCACTTGCAGGGCCGCCAGGGGCAGAGCTGGGGACCCTCAGAGCTCCTCCTCCCGCCTCCCCCTTGCGTCCCACTGGGTTGGTAGGAGCAGTCGTTTCTCCGTGAGATACCAAGAGCCTGTGTGCAGCTACCTCCCGCTCCTTCCCGGCCAGGCCTCTTCTCGCCCTGCGTCTTCACTCCGTGTTTCTCGCACGCTTGCTCTCGGCTCCCCTAGCCCTCGGCTCTGCACGTGTAGGTGCCCCACCTCGCTCCTCCGTTTCTAACCTCTGCGCCTCCCGTTTCTCTCCCGTGCTCCCGCTAGGATCTGTTTCAGGTACTGCTCTGTGGTTATTCTCTCACCCCACCATCCTTTCCACTCCACTCCACCTCTCTTCCCAGGCACCCGGGGCCTGTGTGCCAGTGCCTGCTTTCCAACGCCTTCAGCGCTGTCACCACACCCCTCACCATGGCTTGGCTGCCGTGTCCTGACCCCCCAGATCAGGGTGCTTCTCTCTGTCCCTGCCCACCGCATCCCTCCAGCTCGCTGGCACGCATGGGTGACCCTGAGCCACAGCAGGGCGCCCTCTGCTGGCCGGGCCCAGGGTGCATCTTCCGCCTTGCGTCTCCTGTTCCCTCCTAGCCTGGTGCTGCTGGTCGTCCTGAACATGATGCTCTTCTACAAGCTCTGGATGCTGGAGCACACCACCCAGACCCTCACCGCCTGGCAGGGCCTGAGGCTCCAAGAAAGGTAGTCCCAGCCTCATCCCCTTGCCATCACCCTACCGCCTGGGCCCAGTGGGTGTCCCCTTTGAAAACCTGACCCTGTTTTTTCTGTCCACTTCTGATTTGGGGCCCATGGGAGCGTGGGGCAGTGAGTGAGGGACGAAAAGCCCTGATGTGACTCTCTGTCCTTTAGGGGTCTGGGAGCACAGGACAGTCTGCCGAGCATAACTCCAGCTGCTGGGGTGCCCCTTCTTCTGCCCCACAGGTTACCCCAGTCTCAGACAGAGTGGGCCCAGCTCTTAGAGTCCCAGCAGAAGTACCACGACACAGAGCTCCAGAAGTGGCGGGAGAGCATCAGGTCCTCGGTGATGCTCCTCGATCAGGTGGGGTGCCCTCTCTGTCCCGACCCCCCGACTCCCTCCCATGACTCTTCTCCAGCAGCCATTATTCTCATTTTTCCCCCTATTGGGTTGTCAGAGATCAATCGGGCCACGTTTTTGCACAGAAGACTCATCATGACTTTTCCGACAACCCAAAATCTAGTTTGCTGTAAGATTATCGATGTCAAAACACTTTTGCTCTTTGCTTCCGTCCCTGTGTTCTTGATCAGTTCTTCGTTTTTTTCTTTCAAACTGTTACGTGCCACGCTTGAGGCCGTGACTCACGTTGAACCCCCACAGCCGAGGGCCCCGACCCTTCATCCCACGGCCTGGGTACTCATTCTGTGCACTGTGATCCTGGTGTTTTTCACCACCGTGGGCTATGACAAGTTTCTAGACAATATCAGTATGTCCTGACGGGGCCAACAGGTGTGTAGTGGTTAAGACACCAGACTCCTCCATGGCCGACCGCAGTTTGAGTCCAGGACCCGGTGGCTTGAAAAATCACACTGGGTGCATGCTGCATGCATGTGTGCCCAGAGTCCTAGGACAAGAATGGAGAAGGGATTGCAGTGTGGCCACCCCGTTGGGGGGGTGATTTCTCTCTTGCCCTCTCTCTGTGTCTGTCTCTCTCTGGCGAGTGCATGCACTCTACAGTAAAAACCTAAAAAGGAAATAGAAAGTGTGCAGAGACAGCCTCCATGCCATCTTCAGGATTCAGGCTCTGTCGCACCTAGAAACTCCCTTAGAGCCAGGGGACGAGCCTGCCTGCTCTGCCGGCACCCGGCCCGAGGGCTGACCAGGGTTCGCACGTCTTCCTCTCTCAGCGGTCCTGTGGGAAGGAAGCCAGTATTCTCATCTTAAAGCCATCTTTGAACGGGCTGTTAGAATCTCGGGGCATTCCTCAGAACAGCGAAATAACAATAAAACAGCACTGAATTTGCAGCGGGGAAACTGTTGGTTAGATGCTAAGAGAACTTTTTTCATAACCCATAGCCTTGGGACAGACATTTGAACAAGAGAATTCCCCTTTTACAGAGATTCAGCCTCCCAGAGACCACATCCTCAAACTCCTTGTGTCTCCCAGCCCCACCTCAGGGGGCAGCCAGCGACCTCCAG